GCAGGGGAGGGGCAGAGAGAGAGGGAGACACAGAATCTGAAGCAGACTCCAGGCTCTGAGCTGTGACCACAGAGCCTGACATGGGGCTCGAACTCACAACTGTGGGATCCAACCTGAGCAGAAGTTGGATACTTAACTGACTGAGCCACCCAGGTGCCCCTCTAGTTGCTCTTTCTAATGCCATCCTTCAGAAGTAGCCTAATGCTTACACAATAGACAGATAATCCACATATTTGAGTCAACTGCATTAAAGGTGTAATTTTCTTGGTCATATTTTAGGCATCTGACTCAATCATTCTTTCCTAGCTTTTCCATCCAATCCTGTTCTTTTTTTAAATTAAATTTTATTTTTTAAAGTTTATTTATTTTGAGAGAGAGAAAAAAAGTACGAGTAGGGGGAGGGTCAGAGAGAGAATCCTAAGAAAACTCTGCAGCACAGAGCCCAATGTGTAGCTTGAAACCACAAACCGTGATATCATGACCTAAGCCGAAGTCAGAAACTTAACGACTGAGCCACCCAGGTATCCCCATCCAATCCTCTTAATACACCTTCCTTACACTCCTGGTTTTTCACTGACCTATCCCTTCACTGTATACAGTCTTCAGTGTTTTCTCTCTTTCTCAGTAAACTGTGAGCTCCTAGAGGGTTTTACCTTACTCATCTTGTAACGCAGTGCCTGGTAGAGCAGAGACAAATAAGAAATATACGTTGAATGCATGGGGCCAGTCTACAATGGGTCAATAAGGCATGCCAAATAGTTTGGGCTTCTTCTCAAGTGCACTAACATAAAAGGTTTATATGCGTGGAGGGTAAGGATAATCAGATCTTCATTTTTATAAAACAATTTGGAGGGGAAAATAAAGGCTATTTGGTGATCTCTTAGATATGGACCATGACAAAGGACATATAGAGAAGACACTCAGGTTTCTGGCTTTAACAGATACTTCAGTGGAGAGTAACATCATTAATTAAGGAGCTATAAGAAGGGGTAAGTACTAAGCTGTAAGCCAATAATTCTATTTCTGGATAGGTATTTTAGCATACTGACTTGAAAGGCCAAGTAATAAACTGTTTCACTTATATTCAAAGCTATTCCATAACATAGGCATTTCCTTACTTTTAATTCTAACTAAAAATATGTGAAAGCCAAATTTTGCTGTAATATAATTTTACTGTGTCAAAAAAACTACTAACTCTCCTATGTCATTAATTCAACTATGATTATAATAAACTTTACAACTGAGGATAATTCATTAGGGACAAATTTTTCATGTCTCTTTCATAAGGGATTTAATATGAAAAAAATAAAAATCTTGATTATTCTTGATTACAAAGCAGACCAACCATTTAAGGAATATAAAGGGAATTATTAGGTATGGTGGAAACCATCCTTCCTTCTGTCCAATAAATACATAAAAGACAGTTCTAAAAACAAAACAAACTTCAAATCATTCTTAGTAATTTTGAGAAAAAAAGAAAACATGGCTAAAAGAACATTACTTATGCCTTCTATAGCAAATTCATTCTCTTAAGATAACCATGCCCACCCTTTATCTTTGAAAGAAAAATATAGCTATATTAATAGGGAAAGTTCCCTTTCAACTACTAATAATCATTTTTAGCCATATTTATTATAATAGAGTTCTGGTTTAAATAGAATCTGGAAAATCCTTTACAGTGCATAAAACAGTCTAAAAACTGAAATGTCTTCCAAGTTCTATATGATGGTATATATTTGGATTATTTAACAACTAAATGTTATTTCAATTAAAAGCGTCATCTAGACATCTATATGAAAGATCTCACTTCTTACATACATTTGCTCTTATTCAACCCTTAAGAAGGGCTGATGTTCTATACATAATTTTATTACCAATGCTACTCCAATGGTCTACAGTAAATACATTCAATTAAAGGACATAAAACAAGGGGCACCTGGGTGGCTCAGTTAGTTAAGCATCTGACTTCAGCTCAAGTCATGATCTCACAGTTCGTGGGTTCAAGCCCGGCGTCAGGCGCTGTACTGATAGCTCAGAGCCTGGAGCCTGCTTCGAATTCTGTGTCTCCCTCTCTCTCTCTCTCTGCCCCTCCCCTGCTCTCACGCGGTCTCTGTCTCAAAAATAAGTAAATATTAAAAAAAATTGAAAAAGGATATAAAACACACATATTTTTATTACAAATGTTTAATCATGTTTATAGTAATTTTTTTTCTTCTAAGGACTATATGCTTGAATATTTATTCTCACCAGAAATTATATTTTATGTCATGATAGTTAGAAATGGGTAAAATAATGTGAAAAGCTCAGTAATTATCTGAGGAGTAACAATGGAACCAATATGAAACTTATCCAAACCCAAAATATATGAAAAACAAAGGTAAAATGTGAAAGTGTAACAGTTTCTAAATGATCATGTAATAGGATTCCAAAGGAGCATTTCCTCTGTTTCCTGTTTAAATATATAATTTAAACATTGTATGTAATGTTTTAATGTAAGTAGTATCTAAATTCTTGATAAAGATGATGGTTGTACAATTCTGAATATACTAAAAACCACTGAACCATACATTTTAAATGGATGTTTTGTATGGTAAGTGAATTAAATCTCCTAAAAAATAAAGACTCTTATTTATATCTTTAAAAAGGAAAAAAAAAACTTTCTTGCTCAAAGCAGTAGATAGTAAACACCAGCTAATTAAAACACAGAAGTGTGTGAAATTTAATATCAGCTTTTTGATAGCTGCTACTACAAAAACAATGGGAAATTTGCTCAACTCACACTTAAAATTTGAAATTATGTGGAAAAGGAATAAATGGTATTTGGAGGAAAGCATTAGCTCTATGCCATCCTTCATACCAAAAAATTTCCAGATGCAGTTAAAAGTAAAGAAAGAAACCATAAAATTAGAAGAAAAGTATCAGATTATGGGATTGGAAAAAGCTTTATAAGAATAAAAGTCATGGAAGAGATCACAAAAGATTGATCTGAGGAAAAAAAATACTTGTGTAGGTAAAAATACAAAGTTAAAATTAAAAAACAAACTAGAAAAATCTATTTGCAATATATGTCAAATGGTTAAATTCTTAATTTGTAAAGCTCTCTTACAAATCAAAAGGAAAAAAACAATACTCCAAAAGATAAATGAACAAAGGCCATGAACAGAATAGTCACACAAAAATACAAACTGCCAGGGACACCTGGGTGGTTTAGGCGGTTAAGCATCTGACTCTTGGTTTTGGCTCAGGTCATGATCTCACAGTTTGTGAGTTCTGGCCCCATGTTGGGCTCTGTGCTGACAGCATGGAGCCTGCTTGGGACTTCTCTCTCCCTCTCTCTCTGCCTCTACCTGGCTTGCTGTCTCTTGCTCTCTCTCAATAAATAAACAAACAAACAAACATAAAAAAATACAAACTGCCGGGGCGCCTGGGTGGCGCAGTCGGTTAAGCGTCCGACTTCAGCCAGGTCACGATCTCGCGGTCCGTGAGTTTGAGCCCCGCGTCAGGCCCTGGGCTGATGGCTCGGAGCCTGGAGCCTGTTTCCGATTCTGTGTCTCCCTCTCTCTCTGCCCCTCCCCCGTTCATGCTCTGTCTCTCTCTGTCCCAAAAAAAAAAAAAAAAAAAAAAAAAAAAAATACAAATTGCCAACAAACATATGAACATGGATTTCAACTTCATTAGAAATAAAAAATGCAAATGAAAGCAAGATAACAATAACAGAGATTATGATTGACAGATTTTTAAAAGTATGAGAATATATAGTGTTAGCAGAAATGTGAAGCACAGGCGTTCTAGCACAATTCTTGTGGTAGTTCTATGAAGTAATTTTATTTTTTATTACCTCCTAAATAATCACATTACATTGTATTCGACTTAGTAGCATAATTCCTTACTTTTCTGGTTTTAAGTCTCTATAGATTATTCCCAGGCTATGTAGATGGTCTAAAGCAAGTGCAAGTTCAGCCAAGTAGAATTTGACATCTTCTTCTGTGAACATCACCTAAAATAAAATTATAATTTTTCTGTCTTTATTTTCTTTCTGTGTCTGTAGTTTTTATTTAAAATTCCATCCTAGAGTTCAAATATTCAAAAATTATAAATATGCTAATCACATGTAGTTTTATCCACAATTTACTTATGAAAGGAATTTGCAAAAATTATTGAATCAGTTAACTAATCACTTTCTAAATGCTAAATGTGCACTGTGGGAGAAATAATTTTACATTTTGTTAAGTAACAACTATATTCAGATTGTGACACTACTGCCCCACCAAAGTAACATCTTAGAAACGAAAAATGATCTTTAAAATGTATGCTGAATTTCCACTACTAATTGTTTAAGGATATCTTGATATATTATTGCTTCTGAAAAACTATAACTGAAAGAAGCAGGACAAAAGACAAAGAATTTATTAATTTAAAGTCCTACTTTCAGAACAACTTCAAAAAGGAGGAAAAGAACTCTTTTTGGCTCTAATTCCTTAATATAAGAATCTTGTGCCACTAGAGAAAATACAATAAACACAATATTGAAATATAACAAAGTTTTAGTTAAAACAGTATACATATAGATAGATTAAAAACAGAGATTAATTATATACCTCTTTGGATAAGCGTGTAAACAAATCTCCTCCCCTGAGAAAATCCAAAATAAGATACAACTTCCCTTCAGTTTGAAAAGCTGAATGAAGAAATGAAAATTTGTTTAATCTACCAGGTTTTTTTTTGGCTTATATTAGGTCAACTCATTCACAAATGAATATCATTTTTAAGCAAATTAATGATTATATCACAGATCTAAAGAGATTTTTATTTAGAAGATAACCAATGATTTTCTTAGTTTCCATGTGGAAATGTTAAATGTAGTGTTTCTTATTATGGAACCACTAGAACATTTGTTACATTTTCTTCAGGCAATAGTCTCTCAGGAATATAATAGTTTTAAAACATGTGATTAATAAGAAAAATTCCCAACATGGTCACTTTACCATGAAACAACAACAACAACAACAACAAAAACATGTCACTTAAGTGCAGAAAAAATGTGGGTTGGTTAGCTTTAATCACACATAATAAGAATCATCACAACTTTACCCACTGAGAAAAAGCACATATACCTTTGGGGAAAAGAAAGGTGATAAAAGCTTCAGGATGTGACATTAGGGATTTTTTTCTTCCTTTTAAGAGAAGTTGGGTTGGGCTAACACATATGGACTACAAAATGATGATACACTGTTATTAATTATTATAATAAAAAACAATGATTATTATTACCTATTCCTATGGCTACCACTCAGAAACATAAGTATAAATGCAATAAAAGCTTGTAAAGTTTAAGAAGTAATGGCTTAATTTCCATGACTTTATTTATCTATTAAACACATATAAATCTACACAAGCAAATATATACATTAATACATCTGAATGCACTCAGGGAGTCAGGCATTAGGTGGAGGAATGAGGCTGCAGGTGGTTCACAACTTACCATAATGCAACTTGACAATAAAAGGATGATTAACTTCTACCAAGATATCACGCTCCATTTTTGTCCGAACACGGTCTCGAACTACAAAATATTGCACATATGGCTATACTACAATAGCTTTCAGAGACAATCCTTAAGACAAAATCTCTTTGGGGACTATTTTAAATAAAATTTTGCTAAAATGTGAATCTACATTTTTATATATGCCAATAAAGCTATTTATACATACAAATAAAACATGACTCTTGAAGTTTTAAAATTAATGTATTGTTTACTAAATTACACAACCAGAAGAAATTGTTCGTATTTAAAAATCTGTGCTTTAACTTAAAAAAAATACAGATAACATATCAGATGTTGAATCAGACGTTGGCTTTAAGATCAAATTTACAAACATTTTAATCTAAGTTATGAAAATGGCCAAAAAGGAGTAACTTTTGAAAAACAAGGCATCCCAATGAAATATCAAAACATACACACAAAAACGGAATAGGTTTCACTACCCCTACCAACCTTATCAACCAAACAAGCATTCATTAAGCATCTATAAAATGTGGCAGACATGGTGAAGGATGAATGAATATACCGAAAAACGTCTATTTTGAGTTAAGGAAGAGAAGGAGAGGGAGAAGAAATAATGTAGTGCAGCTGAAAGGGCGAAGGCTTTCTGGAGTTACAAAAAATATCTCGATTTAGATCTGTGTAATACTGAGCAAGTTACCTACTTAAACTCTGAGTCTCAGTTATCTCTCATAGATAAAACAGGGATAACACCACTGTACCTTTGGGGGCTGTGTGACCATTTGAGATAAGGTTTGTACATCCCAGAGCCTGGTACATAGGAGATACTCAATTAAATGGTAGCTATCGCACCATGAATACGGTAAAGGGATAAAATGAGTTATTACCGGGAATAAGGAGTACAGGAATTCAGAGAAGGGAGAGATGAGTTTTACTTGCATGGGAAAGCTAGAGGGAAGAGGTGGATTTAGGAACTTTTAGAGTGGAACGTAGATGGGTGGGAAGGATCAGGCCTAAAGAAGAAAAGTCCAGGTATGGAGTACCAGTGCAAGTGAGAACATGGAGGCATGCATGAAGAAAAGAAAGCAACCAAATCAGTATGGAAATTGGGGAGGTGAAATTGGGAAGACCCAGATTCTTGATAATTTGGAATGGCACGATAAATTTATGTTTGATCCTGTAGGCAAAGCTCTCTTTTACCAACCAAACATTTCCTGAGTAAATTTTGTGTGTCAGGCACTGGGAGATACAAATACAAACAAAATCATCTTCAAGAAGCTCATAATCTGGTGGGAATGACAGATGAGCAAAAAAAAAAAAAAATTGAATACATTCTGGTAAGTATTCTGTGTTGGCAGCTCAAGGGATTTGAGAGGTGAAAATAATCATTCATTAAAGTTTTAATTTTTTTCTGTTGCATAATAAGGATAAATCATAAATAACTTTTATTTTTCAGGCCAGAATGACTGAATGGTTGTGTCAGATATTAAGCAGAAAGAATGGGAAAGAGAATCTTTTGTGGGGGGAAAGAAAGGAAAGAAAGATGAGTTGACGGGGTTTTTTTTTTTTTTTTCAATTTAAAGTGACTGCAGATATTTAAAACACAGAAATAAGACCTCTGGAAAAAATAAACAAAGAAGCTAACACAAAATCCTATGTTTCCCATTCTACCAATTTTCCACTTCCAACTGGGAGATTTTGGTGCCAGTGACTGGAAATGGGCAAACCAAGTATAGAAACCAATTACTCTTGATACCTATAAAGCTTTGTCTTTTAAATGACTTGTCCAGCTGGTGTATCAAATTCAGTATCAATCTCTGATTTCATTATCTGTCCTATCACAACAACTCTGGTGTCTTCTATTATTTATGTGAATGAGGTTCATCACCTAGGACTGCTGATAATTCTGCTCCAGTCTAGCCCACATCTGTGTTTTTTCTACTGCTACCCATATGATCTTGGATTCAGTTCCTATTACCTTAAAAGGTAGATTCCAAATTCCTACCTCTTTCAATAATTATACAAACATTACAAATCTTATCATTTAAAACTCACCTCTCTGTTCAGTAAGCAGCAAAACATCCACCAACATACTTACTGTATATCTCTCTTCTATTATTCTACCACAATGAAAAGAACAATCATTTGGGAGTCAAGAGCTACAGTTTTTAGTGGCTCTGCTAACAATTGAATTACCTTAGTCAAATCCTTACACTCCTTGGGGACTTCCTGCTTCCTTCTCTATAAAATGAGAGGCTAGAGGGACCCCTGGGTGGCTCAGTTGGATAAGCATCCAACTCTTGGTTTCGGCTCAGGTCATGATCTCACAGTTCATGAGTTTGAGCCCTGTGTTGGGGTCTGCACTGTCAGTGTGGAGCCTGCTTGGGACTCTCTCTCTCCCCCCCTCTCTCTGCTCCTCCCCTGTTCTCTCTTTCTCTCAAAATAATTAAACTTATAAAATAAAATGAAATGCTAGAACAAGATGATTTTCAGTTATGATTATCTTGTGAGGTGGTTTCCTTACATGTAACACTGATGAGACCTTGTTTAGTTGCAAATGAGCAGTGAGATACTGTAACTAAAGGATTCCTTCATTTTGTCTGAGGTAGGACTGTTTAATAATTCTAATCTGGTTTCTTTTACTTATGTAAAGACCTATTGACAAATATAAATCATCCTACAATCAGGAGTTCTGATGAAGATATACTGCTTTAGAAAAAGGCATGTTTTATATTGGTAAACTCTAAACCCTGAAATAGAATTTGTTAATAATGACTCATGCTGGCAAAGCAACTACGTTCCTCTGAAATAATTTTTCTCATATAGTAGTTATTAGGTTTTAAATCCTCCTTGACTTGAACATGAGAGTGAACAAGAAGAAATGGTGTTTATGTTTCCAGGATTATATATTAAGAAACTGTTGAAGCAATGGTTTACAAAACTTTTAGGCCCACAGACTACTGTATTAGGACAAAAGTCCCCACAAACTCAACCTCACACTACTGACTTCTATTTGACCCCACTTATTGAATTAATAGGAACTCTGAAATGGAAACAAAGAGACTTCTGCTTAAATATAGATGTTTTATTTTCTACTTTCTTACAAACCCCCAGTGAAATTACATTAATGGAACAATTATGCATAAACTCGTAAGGACAAAGAACAGGAGAGGAAGCAAGAGCAGAAGTAGATAAGAGAAAGCTAAAAGCTAAGACTAAGGGAATAAAGCCAAGGAGAAATAAGCAAATTCTTGCCAGAGAACCCTTTCCAATTGGTTATTTGGTACTTCACTCTTAAATGAGAAAAAGTTAGCAAAGGACCCGTAGGCATTTGAGGAAAGGCTCTAAAGATGAAAAACAGCTCTCAAAATAAATAGAAAGAGAAAGGAATATGGTGAAACAGAGACAATGTAAAGAACACAAGAAAACTTAAAAATCACCCTTGTCATTTATATCCACCAAGAGAGCAAAAATCATATGGCACCCATGAAAAAGAAGCTTTAAAAGGGATAGGGGGAAAGGAACCATTATCTTCAATAAACTACAAAGAAAAAAAGTGTAGAAGAACTCACAGATTAAAAGACTTAAAAGAGATTATCGACCAACTACAAAATATAGATCTTATATAGATCCCGATTCAAACATACTGCAAAAAGAAAAATGAATCATAACAATAGTCATAATTGGAAATGTGAATACTGACTGGATATCTGTATATTAGATTTTTAGGTATAATGTTAGAGTTGTATCATTTCTTTTTAAGAGTTTTTATCTTTTAGAGATACATACTAAAATATTTATGGAAAAAATTGTACAATGTCTGGGATGTGCTCCAAAGTATCAAAAGAGGGGGAGGGGAAGAACACAGACGCAAAAAAAAAAAAAA